CATATGTTGGAGAGCCATAATATTGAGAACCTCCCCTTCTAAATATTTTATTTTACAATCTAAATCATAAAATAAAAGTTTCTTAAAATATATAATATATTTTTTAAAATAATTAACATTTACAAGAATCCTTGCTTCTAGCGTAGATCATTTGTGATTGTCAAATTTTTATTAGAATTTTAAATTTTTATACTTATTCCATATAAATTTATAATTCAATATTTGTTTAAAAAAAATGTCTAAATAAAATTTATATACAAGAATTTATTTATATTTAAACCAATCGTGACAAAAAGAAGGAAAAAAGAATAAACAGAAGAGGTTTGTAATTGTAACAAAACTAATTAGAATGGGTATTGGCAATGTTCGAATGGTATGGATAATTTGCCAAGTAGGAATGATACAAGAGCACCAATAGTGTCATCTAAGGCAGAGGCATGGGGGGTCTCCAGTTACGAAATTCTTCCAAATTCCGGTTCACAATGCTTCCATTTTGCAGCCAGAATGTCTCCGATGACTGGTGGAATCGTCTGACCTTCCTCTGCAGTTCCCACAAGATTCCATGCATCGCCGAACATGGCCATGACTCTGGAGCATACACCCACAAACACTTCACTCGTCTACCACGGGCTATCATCTCTTCTATCACCTCATCTGTATATAAAGAGAAAAGGGAAGTAGAAAGTTGAGGTGTATGACAATGTTGTAGGAGTGCATTGTATAATGAATGCTGAAGTTCATCATGAAGACCTGGTAAGGATTCAAGGAACTCCAGAAGTTTGGGACCTATCTGAGTTGCAGGCCATTTGATTGTCATCTGGGTGTAATCAATCACATTCTGAAATGGTAATTCTATTTGATCTGATATGATTACAGGGACACACTCCTGTTAGACAAAAAAAAAAATGGCTTATTCACATTATTCCATTAATTTCCGACCTCTGTATACTTGTTAAATAAGAAATATAACAAGGGTTATTAGAGGTAGAGACCACAAAGAAAGATTCATAGAATCGAAGAGTCCAGGAAGACAATCCGCGAGGAACAAGGCAGAATTTGGCATTGCGCAGGTGCTGAAAATACTCCATCTTATCAAGTTTATGAGGAGGATCAAGCTTCAAATCTGGGGCTTCCAACTGTGTTCAGGAAAAGATCGTGCCTGATAAGTAACAACACAATTTTATGGGGTTTATGTTTATTAGGAGGACACAAACCTTTTCTGGATATTGCTTTGCAAGCTCTATTAACTGAAGACGACCAGCCAGTCTTTGCGCTCGACCCAAGTAATTTGCCAAGTACTTCCTCTTAGATAAAGGCAGAGGCTCAACTAGGGGAGAGCCAAGATTTGTCATCTCATCATCAACATTGCCAGGAATGATGATGTCTTTCCATGTATTGAAGGCACTAGAGTTCTTATTATCAGTACGATCCCCCTGCACTAACACGTATATCATGTATAAGCTCAAATATAAAACCTTTAAACCCTGCTGAAAATTTGAAAATTATGTACCTCTGGAGTGAGAAATATTGAACGGTTCAAGAATATTGCCCAGGAGGTGAAGAAGTGAGCTCCATTACCACTATACACATATAAAATTTCCATTTTGGATCCATAAATCCTCTGATAAAAACAGAAAAATGTTCATAGTTTAAGATTCATACCTTGGGAATACGAAAATGTGGTCACGGCCTCCGGATCTTCTAAAATATGGCATTTGACTTAAGACCTGCAACAACATTTTTGAAACAAGGTATGTCTAAGCTAATTTGATCCATACTGAAATGAAAATACCTTATGGTTTTAATACCTCAACAAAGGTCTGATTAATCTCTTCTTCAGTAAGGCCTTCCAACATATGAACACATTTAACATATGTAGGCACAAAGAAGAAATCTGCTTCCTCTTTCTTTCTTGTCCGAAATCTTGAGCTTAGGAATAATCTATGTATTTTAACCTAAAGAAAATTAGAGGGATTAAATTGAGATGAAAATAACTTTAAAGGCTTGATTTGGAAAAAACTCAACAAGTTTAAAGCCAGATTTGTACTTTTTCCATTTTTCTACGTCGGCGGTATCAGTAAGTGAAATTACCTGAGCGCCCCACTGGCCTTGATAGCAAATACCGACGTCGATCACACCTTCTTTCCCGTACATCAACGGCTTCAACCCCTCAATCTCATTCTCGTCGTAAACGTAAATCTTGATGTCTATGTGAGACCCATACCCTCTCTGGGGCCACGCCGGAAATCCACTTTCGAATTGCAAGCCCCCTTCTGAAGACCCGCCCAGTTGATTGAACCCTATTGTATTCACCGGAGCTGGAACATAGTCTAATACTCTAGTAAACAAATGGGTGGCGAAGACGAGGATCAGGGCGCCGATCCAGTGGGTCTGCGAACATTGCGTCTGGTTGTGTAGTAACGTTCTCGCTTTGTAGTTGCAGGCACCGGAGTTGAAGGTTCCCATAGAGAACAGAAAGCGCCGGCGGTGGAAGGAGGTGGGGCGATGATAAATATATGAAATTGATTCTGAGTTAATGGTTTTGAATAAATGCTGTATTGATTCCATGAAAAGGGATGGGGGAGGGGAATGTGTCATGCAATCACTATGAGAGATGGGAAGCGAGGAATTCGTGTTTCTGCCAATTAGATGTAGTTTTCGTTTTGAAATAAGAGGATGAAATGGTTCGACAGTGATCGCCTTTGTCAGATCATGTAAATTTTATGAGGTGGCAAATGGAAGCCCAATCTTTATCAAAAAAAGAAAAAAAAGAGGAAGC